GAGCAGGCATAAAAGCAAATTTTTCTCCGCTCTATAAATTTCATTTCCTCGTTCCTGGAATTATATTCTTCCAGAAAAGCACTCTAGCTTTGCTGTTATTACTCTCCTCGGACAAATCTGGCTCTGGACGCAATTATACAGCCCGTTTTAGCCGCTCGCCGAGCGTCAAAGCTTTGCCAACGAGCGGACATCGTTATTTTGCAAATGAAAGCTGAATCCACTCATGCGACGTTTCGTTTTGAGTACTGAAAAGAGCAATAGGATCACGAATGAGGCCATTATTTGCTAAAGCCAACATAAAAAGACGTAGTTCTCAAATTGCGACTTTTCAATTTCTGCAAACTGCGTTTCAAATGTGGGAGTAAGATTAATCTTGCAGCGAGCGCGTGAAAGATGACTTCAAATAAATATTTAAAAATGTTATTCTGAAATTACAGACTTTTCACAATTGTTGCAAACTGCGTTTTTAATTATGGAGAGAATTTTCTTTCCTTCCAGAATGGAGGAGACGATATCAATTAACCATATAAAAAAACGTAGTTCTGAAATTGCACACTTCCTACAATTTTTGCAAAACTGTGTTTCAAATTGTGAGTGTAATTTCATAGCCAGCATGGGAGATGATCTTAAATAGATATATAAAAAATGTAGTTCCAAAATTATAGACTTTCTCAATTGTTACAATTTGCGTTTTTGACCGTGGAGGATTTTGTTTCAATCCAGCGCGTGGAAAATGATTTTAAATAAACTATAAGAGACGTTGTTCTGAAATTACAGACTTCCTATAATTTTTGCAAAACTGTGCTTCATTTGTGGGAGTAATTTCCCAGCCAGCGTGTGGGATGATCTTAAATAAACATATACGAGAGTGCTATTGGATCCAGTGCTGAGTGCGAAGAGAAATCTGAGCCTCTCAAATCCAAACGTCTCAAATAAAATGCAGACTATAGTCATCAAAATTCAATGAATTTTTAGTTTACGTCGCTTGAGCCAAAAAGAAGAGCAGATGTGCTGCGCTGAGCCATAAAATTTCATTCGCAACTGGTCGCATTGAATGCGAGCAGCTCATCCCACACAGAAAAAAATTGTATACAGAGGCTTTGCAAGCGAAGCAAATGCAAGATGGCGCGAAAATTGAAATTCTAGAATGTGTACGTCCTATGTCAGTTTTTTAGGGACCATTGATGGCGATTTTGAGCAAATTCGAGCAAAGAGTCGAGCGTATGTGCCTTGTAGATCGCCCTGTGGACTACCCGTTCTTGCCAGATTCTATCTTTTCTTATATGGCTAAATGCATGCCAAAATTGCAGGTAAGTCAGTCATCCATCTGGAAAATTTTCCGAGTAATATAAATTCTTTTGCAGTTTATCTACTTGCGTGAACTGGAC